ATAGACCACAGTTGAAGTTCAACCCCTAGAACATAAAGTGAAGAACGAAACTACAAAGAACATCTTCACGTCAGCCAGGTATCAGGAAAAAATGGAAGACACTAAGCTACATCCCTGAAGAAGCCTGTGTGGAAGAACACTGGAACTCTTTGAAAGAGGTGTAGAAATAAACCTGCATAACTGTATTAGGAAGGAAGAAAAAGTAAAACAAGTAGTGGGTCTCCACAGACATATGGAAGCTGATAGAGCAAGGAAAGGAAGATGATGAAGTAGAAGATGAACCAATGCAGTGGAGGGATGAACAACGAAAAGAGGAAGTGAACACAACCTATAAAACACTGGACAAAGAAGTGAAGAAGAATGCACGCAAAGACAAAAGGTACTTCTACGACACTGGCAAGTGAAGCAGAACAGGCTGCTGGTAGGAGAGACCTGACAACAAAGTAAGCGATAGGCTGATCACTTCAGAAAACTCTTGATTCGACCACTACCACCATCACCACTACCTGCAACTCGTCCAGAAATATCACAAGCAGCCCAGCCACAGAACTGTCAGTGAACACACACCCTCCACCAAAAGCAGAAGGCCTAAATGCCGTAAAACTGCTGAAATCAGGCAGATGGTTTGGAAGAAAGGGAAGGTACTCGCCTGTTGACTGGGCGAAGGGCCACCTTGTCAAACTCCTAAAGAAGGGAGACCTAAGTCTTTGCAAGGACTGGCGCGGAATTATGCTCCTGTCCACCTAAAGCAAGCAAAATATTAAGCCACATCATCCTGGAGAGACTGAAAATGCTCTGGACTCAAAATTAATACTGGAGCAGGCTGGGTGGCCTCAGGAAGAACAAATCATGTATGGATCATATTGCAATGCGATGCTACGCATCATCATAGAACAGAGTATAGAATGCCAGTCAACTGGATCTCTACCTCAACTTCATCGAGTTTGAAAAGGCCTTCTATAGGGTCGACTGAGAAGTAATTTGACAGGCAGCTGCTTCAACACTACGGAGTACCACAAATATTTATCAATCTCATTCAACAACTATATGACGACGCTGCATGCCGAGTGATTCACAATGGAAAGCTCAGTGACGCCTTTGAAGTGGAGACAGGAGTAAGACAAGGCTGCCATCTATTATCACCGATGATCTTCCTGATTGTGGTCAAGTGAACTGGACTGTATCATGCAACAAACCGTGAGGAGCGAGAAGACGGCCATACGATGACTGGATCGATGAAAAGATCCTAGAAGATTTGGATTTCGCCGATGATGATTTATGTCTAATGTCTTGTAACACAAACTGGAAGATCAATAGGCAAAAACCAACAAGTCGACAGAAGAGGTAGCGAAAATGGGACTTCAAGTGAATCTAGAGAGGACGAAGGTGATGAAGATGCCCAACTAACAACAGCATGAGCAACAAGCACTAATCACCACGAAAGGGAGAAATTTGAAGGAACTTGTCTCTTTCACTTACCTAGGCACTATCGTTTCAACTACAGGCTGCACAGGCACACATGAGGACGTCAGTGCCAGGATCTGAAAGACAGAAAGACAGACCTGCCTTCATTAGCCTGAAACAGTGTGGAGATTTACTACCCTGCACTCCACTCAGCATAAGGCGTCTACAATATCAGGATTTTCAACACTTATTTCAAATCAGGGCTTGTATGTGATGGGTGAGAGACTTGGCGCGTCATGAAAACCATTTCCAACAAACTACAGACATTCATCAACAGCTGCCGCTTACGCTCACTCGATACCGAAGATCAGATGGCCAAAAAGAGTAAGCAACAAAGAACTCTGGCTGGCGACGAACTAACCAAGAAACTATAGCCCAACATATATGCGGAAGAAAGTGGAGATGGATTAGGCATACACTGAGAAGGACGACTGGGGACATCGCGCGCCAGGCCCTCGAGTGGAACCTAAAGGGGAAACAATGAGTTGGGCGTCCGAGGCAAGGGTGACATGGAGGAGGTCGTATGAGGAAGAAATTAAAGCTTGTGGGCAGTAGTGGCACCAGGCTGAAAAGGCTAGAGAGAAGAGAGTGAAATGGTGACGTGCCACTAAAGCCCCATGTTCCACTAGGAACCCAAGGGACAAATGATAATACATAATAATGTCGTTTTTACGATGAGGCTGAAGTAGTTCTGTTGAAAGTAGAAAGTCTACGCATAAGTACTCATTCCCAGCATTGCAAGCGATAGATAGTTCGAACCGTAAATGCCTATCTAACCATCTTGTTCTCTCAGTCATAATGTGGAATGATTCAGTCATAGTGAGGCCTAAAACGATTAGAGCTTCAATGATGAAATTATGAAACCTCATCAACTCTGACGGTTAGGAGGTGTGTTATGTATGCGTAGTCAGTGTCTTCTGTGCTAACAGATTTCGGCTGAAATAGGCTTAGGCTAGAAAATGGTTATAGGCGGTGAAACTAATAGATGGCATCAGTTTATGAAGTCTCCGACTGTTAGTCTGATTCCTGTAGGGGAATAAGGGTTTTTTATATCACGAAAAACTAAGACCTCCACTGTCCTAAAAAGTTGAATTCGAAGAAAGTGTGGGAGATTCGGTCGAATTTGATCAACAACTTTAAATGAAGTTCTCCCTGTTAAGATCGGTATGATAGCCAAGATGGGCAGTTAGAGACTCTAGAGACATGGGAAAGATGCATCCCCACATTATCTTCATCTTAATTGACATACTAAATTCCATGATTGTCTCATTTCTACTTGTTCTCTTTTCATTACTTTCCACCACGTTGACAAATGTCTTCATAATTCCTGTACGTTTCATCTGGATACCTTCTCGCGTGATATCGTGCCATAAACTGCTGCAATAACGCAATAATGTCAGGTTCCACGTTGATGCTGACTGGCTGACTAACAGACAGACAGACTGACTGACTGACTGATAGCTTTAAGCAGCTTGTTAAAATGTCGATTTTTCAAATTAAAATTTAGAAAGCAGTACTTAACTCTGTTATTCTTGAAAAAATGATGAAAGTAAACAAAAAGCAACATCACCAGCGTTCACTGATTCCAATACACTGTATAATATTCTGTATTTTCATTAGTACTCACGTTCATCAATGTTCTAGACAGGTGCTTATCGCTTCATGTAGCCTACCCAACCGGATAAAGCCACTTGAAGTCGTACACCAAAGATAAAGTCGCTAATGTTCTACAATGATTTATGAAAGATTTCTATAACTGAAGACATTATGTATCAGATTAAGGTCCTTACTGTAACAGTAAATTTTGATACGACTATTGTATAGAAGTACTTGTGTTCATCTTCACTGTGATTTTGAAAATAGTGAAAATATGGTTTTATTTATCTGTCAATGAGTTAAAGGAAACTGGAATTCATGCGACTATTTACTACTTATATGATAACATAGGGTTCTCAGCCGTTACCTGGTATTTTATGGTACGAAGTGAAATATTTCAGTTTACACGATAATAACATCAGTTAATTCTCTTATGGTTATAGCAGTTTTTTCATTTGTGTACGACTTCTATCCTAAGGCAAATAACTCACAGACATGATTTTCAGCTACTTACCTATATTACAGAATTTTCAATCACCTGACAAGTATGTGTCTTTTTTTCAATGATCAGACTTGGCAGGTTTAGTTTTAATTCTTACCGGCGAGGAGATAGCATAAAATTTATTTCCAGGCCTCAACATTTTTCATTTTGAAAAAGCGAAGTCGAGCTATCCCAGTTATTCAGTGAACCGATCCATTCATATTAGTTCCTAAGACTTATTTTATCTGAATTATTGACGTTTCTGAGATGCACTTGGTTCTGTAGGCCTGCTGCTTGCTGATAGACCGACAAAATCGACGTAGAGTCTTGCATACAAATGTATAAGTTCAAGATATCACACTTCATAGTAGTATGAAAAGAATAAGCAGATAGAAAGAATCATACAAAGTAAACAAATTTAATTGAAGCAACATAAATATTCGAAATGAAGATTGCTGAAAATACCCAAGCTTTAGAAGACAACAAGGACTGTATACATCTACACTATTGTGACCGATGTTCAGTCATGTCATCAAGTGTCCTCAACCACTGATTCTCACCGTCCACATCTCTCTCCTTCGCATAACTGAGACCAACAGTCAGAGACTTGATCGACTGCTACCACATCTTAGTCTGGCCATCCAGAACCCCGTTCCAAGTTAATACAACTTCTGCCTATCTGGACGTCCAGATAGGCAGTGGTTAGGCATGAGCAATATGTCGAAGCCGGCTCATTTGTGGAAAGATAACAAGTTCATTCGCTAACCTGCTTTTCTTGCTTAATGCCCTAAAACTTCCAGTTCAAAGAAATCAAAGTGGTTCCAATGTTAATTACCATCAGTATAATAAACAAAAATTGTGTAAGAGACAATCCAACAGATAAACGAAAAGAACTCATCACGTCTAAAATGCATAGACTCAGTCATGAAACCACAAGAATCAGTTAACTTAAAACATAATTTTCATAAAAGTATAGAGACGCCGAAATTAAAATGCGTAGCCAAAATGCAAACACCGAATTCCCTGTATATCTATGTCATATTATATGGCTTAGTAGTTACACTGCATTCCTTAATGAGTGGAATTAGGAGAATACCCAGAAACACATCGTTTTAATACACCAGCCATTTTACGTGCAAAAACAAAATATATGAACTAACATAGTAGCTAATCAAATAGGTATAGGGATGTCAATGGAACACACCATTCTGGATGAATTCACTGGTAACTGTCATCCTATCGGAGTTCACTTCTATGAACACTCATTAAGTCTATAATAGCTTCATTTTCTTGTGAAGCTGGAATGAAAGGAAATGAAATTTCATGAGAAATACTCGCTCTATACATCAATACTATGTCACCTATGGAAAACAAATAACTTTTATTTTACACTACTTAGTGAAATTGTTTACTCACCATTTTTAAATTATAAATTAATTCATATGCATTTTCAACTTACCATATACTACAGGAATATTCTTGTTTTTCACTATTTGATAAATAAATGAATATTTCTTCAGGATAACCACCAGGCTGAATATCTTTTGATACTGATTCTTGTATGCAGGTTGAATTAACATTCTCTATAAGATAATCCTGTGTCGACGTAGGTAACTCTGAGTTTGATCTGTTTGAAATGTTCATATCATTCAATGCCCATGTTGTTGATGATAATGATGTTCGGGTGCGTTCATTTCTTACATGAAATGTATCTCCGACAGACGTTCCATTGTAGATAATACCATTCGAGTACTGATCTGAATCTGACTGGTTTGTTGATATACTACTAGTAGTAGCAGCAGTAATATTGGTAGTATGCTGTCGTTGTTGTGTACTTCGTGAAAAATTTTCAAAATTATTTTCATTACGTGTTGATGGTAAATGAGTTAACAGATTATCTAAGAATGAATATATTCCAATTGCCATCATTGTCTGATGTTCGTAAAGACGTTGAAGTTCATCCATTATTACTTAATTTACTATTACTAGTAGAAGTACCGACTGCTACTACTGCCTAAATAATTTGCATTGAATAGATTTCCAATGATTTCACATCTTTCCAATAATATAACACGATAACAATGTTGTTATCTGTAATAACTGTCATTCAAAGACAAGTGACACTGTCTTGAAATAAGTGGTGATAGATCCGTTAATGAGAAGTTAATTACTGTAGAAACTTTCTATAATTTATCCTACTAAAAACAGTGACAGTAACAGAATTTAAAGTAGGATAAATAATAACGGTAATCTCAGTAGATTCGTAATAGCATTTAGCACATCTGCCGAATACTATCTACTATATCATACAAGAATATACAACATTAACCAATAATATTTGAATAGAATAAATCTCTTCATCGATTATATAATTGTTAAACTGAATAGAACAAATTAAATCACAAAATATGTATTGTATCTACTTACAATTATATGTCTTATTATAGGAGTGTAGAAAAAAAGTATAGCTATGTAATGGTTGAAGTCTTTGAGAAATGCTTATGCAAACTGACACTAATGGCATAGAAATAGTGAATTGTGTAACTATGGTTACATTCAGGTCAGGAATATATAAAAGACTTACTATTTTTATTGGTTTTCAGAAAAAACCGAAAGTATTTTGCTGCTCACCTACACCCATACAAATATAGGTGCATATATATATATATATATATATATATATATATATATATATAGTCAATATGCTAGTGTGCTTCTAGGCAATATTTTGTTTGAAGATATTAGTGAGTGTTAGTTATTGATAACTGGTCGAATTTCTCGACATCTGCTGACAGACGAGCTTTCATGCAAATGCCTCGATATTACCTGAATATTTATTATATTGGACTTTAATTGGTGGCTAGCAGAGTAATATAGAACATTTGCGTTTTTTCGTATTTGAAACTCATTAGATTGATGCACTTGTACCCCAGTGAGTGTTGTTCCCACTAAGACTCGAGCTCAATACCCATCGCTTCAAACGTCAAAGTGTTACCCACTAAGCCACTGATGCACCAGACTCACTCCTTGTGCAATGGATATTAAATGTTGTCTATTGGTATTTATAGTTTTCTTGTTGCTACATTGAGTCAAATAGCTAGAACACTGTTAATGTTAAGGAGTGTTGTTTACACTAAGCATGAAGTACTTTTCGAAGAATTTTAAAATTGATATAGCTTCATTTGATCAACTATCACATTGGTGATGATTAAATTATGAAGTGAATTTGGCATGCAAGTGGACTTGAACTACTGGCCTCAGGGATGAAATAAAACTTATAAATTTCTTTCATACTTACTGGTGGTCTCCATAATAATCATAAGTCTGTCGAAGAAATTGTCTTGGGCTGTAACCTCTTTTTTGTTTTGTAGGAGACATAGGTTAAATGGAGAAATAGATTGAAAAGCAAATTGGTAAGTTCTTCATCACTTATACTACAGATTAAGAATGTTTACTGACTGGTGCGTAATATATGGTGAAATCATTGTGTTAGCAGTCCTGACATCAGGCATAGAGTACTAGAGGATGAAATAAAGTCAGTTGATTAGCTTGTAAAGCTTCATCGATTGAGATAAGTTGGCGATGTGTTATTTATGTTAAGCCACTGCTTACCCCTGCTTGTGAAGTTATTCGAAGTAAAATTGTGTTCAATGAACTCAAAGGTAACACTAATTCATGCAGTCTATGACCGGTTATCTCAGCTGTGTAAAACGATGTAAACTGTCCAGCTGGGGCAGTTGAGATAATAAAAATAGAGATTGGAGATTTTTGATATGGTTAATAATTGGTAATAATGGTGAAGATGTATTTACTTGGTGTAGTGAAAATCCTTATGTTTTTACTAACCTTCATTAATTTATTCACTCTCTTCCCGCATATCCTTGTTTACCACAGTGATGTCCTATACCTTATTGCTTGTATTATCTCGTCGTTGATTGGACCGAACTGATCGACCTCCATTGTCATATGAGCCCCTGCTCGGATGCCTCGATATTATTTATGTTTCAGTTTTATATTAAAGATGAATAGTGGCTAGCAGTGGAATCAAGAATGCGCAATTCATCCCATTTAGGACCCTATTAGGATAAACCTACCTCCCACAGAGCAGTGTTGTTCCAACCAGGACTCTAATCCCAACGAACGATGGGATAATACAAGCAACCACATAAAAACTATGCCTGTCGCTCAAGATGTGGCTGTCATGACTCAGGGCCTAGTGAATAACGTTCTGGTGTTTGGCGCGATCGGTCATGGGTTCGAGCCTTGGTGGGAACAATATCGCTCACTGAGAGGCAGATGCATCAAGCTGATGAGTCCCAAATAGAACAAAATGCACTCCCAGGATTCCACTGCCAACCATTATCCATCAATAAAATAATGTCCTTTGTTTTCTATCCACCTGTTGTTTGCATACTGCTGTGAATGGTGGTGCCTTGAAGTGAAGTACACACGTGAAGGGATCTACACTGATTCGTCTATCGCATTGTGATGCAAAGAATATATATATATATATATATATATGCCTCTAAATGACAAAAGTAAAAAAGTGGGTCATTGGATCTTGTCTTAATGACTCAGTGGTAAAGTGCTCACCAAGGAACTTGAATTTCCTGGATTCAATTCACAATGGGGTTATTGGAACCCACTGTTGTATAGTTCCATGATCGGGCAAAGCAGCTGTCTAGTGCCTCCAGGTACTTTAAGGTGTTCTCCAACTGACGTCTGTGCTTGATGAATACCAACTTGAAGTAGATAATTGTTTCAACTTCAGTTTTACAGTTTATCGAATATCAAGTTAATCACTAAAAACCCGATGACATGTTGTTTTATTTTCTTAATTGAGTCAGTTATACTGTATGTGACACTCACTAAAAGTTTAGAATGATATTTTCATGGCATGTTAGTTGGTTGGAGGCAATCGGCAGGGAGCCCTAAAACCTAGGATTTATGCTTTTTGGCACTCATCAGGAAGGCCTGTCTGTAACCTTGAGGAAACTCATGTTCTCTTTGACATCGGGATTTATGACCCTCAGTGTTGTATTCATCAAGTTACCACTGAGATATTTCGGACACTACTGACCTCCTGTAGGAATGGATTAGATCCATTTACTGGTCAGTGGAGAGTAACCAATTTCATATTGTCTAGTCCTGAGTGATGACCGAATCCTATCGAGTGCCAACAGGCCCGACATTTAGGTCTAGGGCTTCTTATCGATTATCTCCATGCAACTAATGTCAATGAAGTACACCCCAGTGGTGAGCCACCTGTCTTGGGGGCCATATTGCAAAATAATCTATAGAATTCGGCAATTACTCAGGACTAGACAACATGAAACTGGTTACCCTCTAGTGGACAATTAATATATTTTTATAGTATCTAATCTATGATGATATCTAAAGCATAAAGTGCAAGAGATGAAACACAATTAACTGATTACCACATTACACATAGCTGTTTGCAATCCCCTTCAGAATTCAGTGGTGTTATCTTCTATAAGCTTAACATTCATTGGTTCAGTATTCTCTTTCTATTGTTCCTTTTTAACAGATAACATAACACGTAGAGTTTATTTTGAAACCATACCGTTAAAACTCTTTTTCCTTAGCACTTACAAATTTTAGAAAATATTACATTAGGTCAGCGGAATATTTGAACATATTTATTTTATTGGTGTAATAATTTTACGGTGTAATATAAGCAATAACACTAAACCTATACCCGTCGCACAAGAAGTGCTTATCGTATCTCGGTGGTGTAGTGGATAACGAGCTGGTGTTTGAAGCCATCGTCCCCGAGTCCGAGTCCGTGAGGGGACTACATCGCTCACTGGGAAGTAGGTACATCTAGCTGACGAGTCCCAAATAGGACGAAATGCTCATTGGGGGTTCCACTGCTAGCCACTGCCCATCATCTCTAAATATTTATTCTACCATTAGTATGAACTTTAGGAAGAACGGCTCCAGACATCAGACTGGGTGTCATCCATGTGAGGCTTTACTGTAAATATTTACTGCCATATGACTAGAGTGAATTATGTATTCATCTTGACTGCTGATGTAAAATTTGACTCATCTGATGATACTTGTCGTCAGAAACTGGCATCAGTTAGAGCGCCACCGCAAACAAGAGAAAGTTGAACAGCTGAACGCATCCATGAGCTACAATGGCTTGAGATTACAACCATCAAAGCTCGCTTCTAGCATATTTCCACTTGACCGATGGATCTGAATTCACATGTCTCAGCTTCACGTTTGCAATTATCTCTAGAGAACAGTGATCAGTGTTAAGTGGGTAGAAGTTCGAAACTAGGGAGAAACAGGTGCATAGTACTTCTTGGTTTGCACTAACTCCTGGTTTGATATTACTCCAAGGTGAATAATATCTTCAAATGATTTTTCCGCAAACTACGTTTTTGTTTGAAAAAGGATAGTTATCTTTGGTAATCGAAAATGGGTAGAAAAGGGTATACAGACTGTTATAATGCTTGTAAAATATATTAATTTCTCCAGTTCCCAATAGATGTGATCAAGACACTGAGTGAAAAAGATGCGTAGACTAAAACCATGGGGATTATAGTTGAAAGTAATTTTTATTGGCATCTAGCCTGCTATTCCTTTTCATGCATATAGTTGGCTGCATGCCAAATAACCCTTAACCGTTTGAACTTTACGTTGCCAATTAAGCACATAACTAGGCGTCTTATTAAATTAAATGATTAGTTATAATTTGCTTGGTAGTGGCTAGAAGTGGGATCCCAAACGCATGATTCGTCTTGTGTTAGACTCTACCAAGTAAATTATAACACGATGAATTTTTCAGGCTATATAGAAGACTAGAATAGAAGCCCACATAACAAGGCTGATAGATGAATTCCATCTAGTTTAACAAAGGGGAATTACAAGCATCAAGAAAGAAATAATCAGCTGTTGTCCGGTTTGGAGGTCCATGGGGATTTGTCGATTTCAAGCAGGCATTCGTCAAGGACTGACATCAGTTGCAGAACCATTGAAAACCTTTTTCGTTCTAGTAAGCGACCCCTCAGCAGAATGCATTCATGACCTGGAAGTCCTAATGAGAACTCGTGACCGGTGGGGTAAACTAAATTGGATGCGAGAATAAACACTCAGTGATGGCGTTGTACGGTGATTGAGCTATATTGCGAATCAACAGAAGTGGGAAAATATGGCCCATTAGGTTCAGACCCGGTGGCTAAACAGCAAAAAGCCCGATGAGGAAAATAAAGTTCCTGGATTCAATCTCTGGTTAGGTAATGGGTCCATACTGCCAAAAAAGTTCCCTAGTAGGACGAAACAGTTGTCCAGTGCTCTCTGGTTCTCAG